GCAGTGAACGTTACAGCTTTCACAAGGAGAAGTATGTTTCTCAGTCCTGCCCAGTGTCCTTACAGTGATGGCATACTGGATGTTGCTGGGCTGCGTAAGAAAGATTATCAGGGCTCTGGTGAATGAAACCTGTTACTGAAGGCTTGAAATGTTCTTTTTCCTTACCAGCTATTGCTTTTGGCACGCAAACAAAATTGACAGTGCAAGAGGTAGGTTGCCAGCAAAGTAATAATGAGAAAAAGGATTGAACTTAGCTTAACTTTCAAAAAGTGACTGATTTACATTAATGGTTTGCCAGGAACAAAGAGAATGTGCTGGACAATTTGCATTATGCAGAACAATTGCGTATCCAATGCACAGAGAAGTGAAAAATGTGACACAGGCTCAATCCTGCAAAGAATTTTATTCTTTCCACTGGTTGGTGAAGACTGCTAATACCTTTGCAGGATCAGGCCTTGTCTGAACTGCTCTTTAAACTCAGGACTTCAATTCTTTGAGCAGTTAATGGAATAAGGTCAAACTATCAAATAAACACTACATCTCTTGGAGGTGCTGTTTACATCTTTCTTCAGAAGTCATTTGCGGCTCCTTAGTAAGTTGTACTCACTACCTTTTTTGTGTCCTCTTCAATAAAATGTGTGTAGCTCTTGGCAATGAAGCTTATGCGCTCATAAAATCTGAGTAATTTTGTGCTAAATTCTAATTAAGAAGTTTAATTGAGCCTCGAGTTGCTACTATGTCTATGTGAGCAGCAGCTGGGGACCACCTAATCATTAAGAGATCTGTGCTACTTTCCTTTTGTTTATTTAAAGAGTTCTTTGTGACACTGTTCTTCCCTTATGAGAAATTTCCTTGAAATATTGGGCAGTGAATGAAAATAGCATGTAGAGCTTTTGGCTACTCCCAGACAACCATCTAAGTACTCTGAAAGTGATATTGAAGCTCTCTCTTTCTGCCTTAGGTCAAAATCCTTTCATGTGCTGCACAGAAAAAAAAAGCAAAAATTCTTCTTTATTCTTGAAAGCCTTTAATATGAGAAAGGCTAAACTGTCACAAGAAACATGTTATTATTAGAGAGATTTCACCACCATTATTTTTCACCATGTCCTTCACTTTCAGACTTTGTTATATATCAACAAATCCAATGTCTATCATCTTGCAGTGGTAGAAAGTGGCATTCATGTTAAGATCAGAGCCCTACAATGAGACTTTGAGCTCACTGTACTGGTAAACATCCAGAGCAACTTTGCTGTAATCATTAAAGTTATTCTGGTGTAACTCAGATCAGACTTTACATAAAGTGTTCAGTGCCAGAGAAGAATCAATTGCACTAGAGTAAATTAAGCAGTAACTCAGAAGGCCAGATTTTTCAAATGTCATTCCCCCGCCAAAGCCTATTTAGCCAGGCTTACATATAATTACAGCACACAATAGTCTAGCTTCTACCATATTTCAAAGAGTTTGCATCTTGGTTTTGTTAAGGGCCCAGTTCTGCTGAAACAGTTTCAAGTGATAAGATTATTCCGGTACGCAGGGCTTAACCTTGGAAAACAAAGAATGATTTGAAATACGGAGTTCACCCTTCCTTCTCTTCGGGCATACACATGCACACACAGACAGCTTTCGCTTTCCTCACATTTTAAGCCATCCAAACCAGTAATCTTGCTAAGCAAAGTCTATATTCACGTTCTGATATTTTTAGGAAGTCTTTCCTAGCACAATACCAAGTACCAGTAAATGTGCTGTTTTCATTCAACCACTGTTCTGTATCTGCCCCCTACTGGCGAAGCGTGACACGTTCAAGAAACCCAAGGCCAAAATACCGTCTATGCACACAAATTGGACTCTTTCACCTAAACCACTGCAGTTCAACAGAACAGCTTTCTGCTGTTGTTGCTCTTCCCACACAGGTGTAACAGCTTTTGTTCTAAAGGCTGCACCAGCAGAAAAAGTACAGAGAAAAAACACACCCGAAATGAAAATAGTTGCATTGCATTCATACAACATCTGTCTCGGCCACTTCTAACACGCTGATGAGATGCGGAAGCAAAGAAAAGCTTTCTCACCTCCCAAATCTATGTTTTTTCAAAACCAGCTTTATAATGGTTTATTAGAGGAACCTGGCTTCCACTGAATTCTCACCAGCTGGTATGTATCTTTTTACTTCTCATAGATGATTTAGATTCCTTTAAGATATCTATGATATTTCCAAATAAATTTGGGTGCACATCTGAAATCACTTAAGATTAAAAGTATAGCAGCATTCTGAAAAGGCAGGATTGAGCAAGCAGCAGTATCATGGCCAAGTAACATGGTTTGGGACTAGCCACAGACACGTTACAGTTACGCAATCTGTATCATGTACACAAGTGTTGGCCGAGATGTGCGTTTCAACCAATGGAGATGTATCAGAGTTTATTTTCAATGGGACAGGAAGTCCTAGTTTACATCACCTGGCTTTGCTGAGACAGAATTGGGCCTGTTGTATCAAAACAGAAGCTGAAACTCCTAACGTTTTACTTCTTCACATACCAATGTAAAGCACAACTTGCAGACATTTTCCCATTGTACGTTTGTAGCACATGCAACGACCTCCAAACTAGGGCTCATCATCTTAAGTGTGGACACAAACCAGGAGCTGCAAATAAAAGTGCCAGTGCACCCCTGCTGGCAAGTGCACCCCGTCAACACTGTTTAAACGAGAGGCTGATTTGGGGTTTTTTTAGACAAACCAAAAAATCTTAAACCATTAAGATGTCTGAATCTGTTCCAGAATTAGACTTAAGAGCTGAACTCATCCTTATTTATGGCCTAACTAATGATTTCTGCTATGAATGCTCTTGAACTCTGTGAAAAATTAAATACAGACCTGAGTTGAAATCCTGACAATGCTGAAGTTAAAAAAGGTCAAAATTCACTCTTTGGCTGTGTGTCCTGGGCCTGTTATGCTAAGTGGCGCACACAGCAGACCTGAGCATGCCTTGTGAACGTTAGCTGCTTATTTAACATATGGTGTGACGCTGATACGTTCCTCTGTGAGATGCTGATAACACCCTTGTAAGCCAGAATGCTGCTGAGCACACTTGGCTAAATTGCTCCAGTTAAATGCTTTAGGCTAACAGGAGGAGCCAAAATTCTTACGCAAAATCTGTTCTCATAAATTATCTGACTCCATCAAAGATTTTTCCTCACAAAAGTATGGCACCTTGTTCTTGAGCAGAAGAACGTCAGCCTAGCACGACAACGACAATCCTTACAGCTCTCCACGTTTTCCACGAGTTGAATCTCGCTGGTTACGTCACCTGCCCTCTGCGCTGCGGTAGCCTCCTTTGCCGAACCTGCAGCGTCTGAAACGGCCGGCCGAGAGCCCTCCGGCTGCCAGAGCACCTCCAAGGCCGCCGACAGCGCTGCGCCGGGAAGCTTCAGGTCTAGGAGAGAGATGGGGAGAGCACAGACAAAGGTGTGCGCAGAGTATTACGCAGTTAAAGGATTTGGCAAAAAACCACGGTATGACCTGACAGCGTTTTGGTTCTGCAGATCCTTCAAGAGGATGTAGCCTTTCACCTGGCATCTGCATTACAAACACAAGAAAGGGGGAGGAGGAGGGAAGACAAACCAGAATTAGACCCCATCCAACTTTGATTTCTGTTCCTTGTGTAGCAGAGCCTTATGAAGTAGTCTGACCTCATCTGACCCTATTAGAGTGTAAAGTAATTGCATATCGTCCAAAACAATATCTTTATGATACACCTTTTGGAAAATCTTTTCTAGAGATGCTTATAGCGCATCTATGGAAAGCAGCATTGCAGCCAGGGAACACACGCCCACGCGAGTCAGGTTCCTCCGGCACTTGCCTTACCTTTCCCTTCTTAGTGGGGGCACAAATAAGCTTCACGTTTTAAGCAGATGTTATGAGAAAACGTAAGATATTAAATTTTATAAAGCAGCACAAGCACACTTCCCGGTGAAGTCCTTCCTCGGGCAGGCAGGCAGCTGTCCCCATAAAGGCCGAGGCGCTCACCTCCCCGGGAGCCCCCCGCCTGGGCGGCCCGGCGTGGGGCGGGGCGCGCCCCCAGCGCTGCGGGCACGGGAAATTCCGCGCGCGGGAAAGGAAAAGGGGGGCGGGGGAAGTTT